CAGCTTGTTGCTGAAGGACAGGTGGAGTTATCTTATATTACGTCCGAAGAACAGACTGCTGATTTGTTGACTAAAGCTGTTGCCACCGCCCGACACTGGTTTCTTGCTCACAAATTGATGTTGCGTAAGCATCATCAATTTGAGGGAGGCTGTTAGAAGTTCATGTATTAGATTGTAATTAGCCATCCTGTCTTTTGCGGCTAATTACAATCCCTCTCCTTAGGTCTAGCTTGCGGCCAGTATATATAGTTTGTATTGGTCACTATGTAAACCTAAGGAATTACAGCCGACGTAATAAGATTGACTCCGAGAGGCTTCACCCTCTCCGTGGATTAGTCTCAACGATATTCGTTGAGGATACCACGTAAATCACGTGTTCATTTATGTTTTAGTTGATTATTGACAACTGCTGCCACTGGGACGGAGTTGGTTGCGATCCCACCACAGGGAGAGTCACCGAGCTCTTGCTTTGGAATCCCGACTATGCCAACTCAACAACAAGGCCGTATTTGAACGCTTCCTTGCTGTTCCTGCCTTTCCAAGAACTGAGAGTGCTTTCAGTGCAAAGCTACCATATACTTGGTTGCATGGAGAACCAAGGTTTGTCGCGTTGCGCGCGCGGTTCATATACCATTTACTAACACTACTACTCTTCGTTGCATTATCGTACAACTTTCAATTTCGTTTTAATATAGAATAATAAACAATTAAATATGCATGGATGTGCGTGCATGCATGCAGGGCGTCGTCCTCGTGGTTTGGAACGTCTTGTGATTCATGACTGCATCGTTGCATGCAGCAGCAGCTTCCTTGAGACCGTTGGCACCGTAATGATCAATCTTATTGAGTTGGCGATTGGAGCGTCGAGTCTAATAAGCTTCGATTCTATTCCTCAAGGTATGTATACATTCTATAACCCTAGCGCCGTTAAAAATCCCGATTTAAAATCCTTACAATCTTGCGATTTTCAAAGATTTTATCGATTTTAAGGTCCGTATTGGATTGATTGAATTTGAACCAAATCATATATACCATGTTAAACAAATCAGATTCAATCGCTGTGTCGGTTTTACTTAGTTTTCTCCCAAGTTCGCAAAATATAATACGCCTTCTTTTCTCCTCCTCCTTGGATGTCATCCATTTCACATCAACGTATTAATCATCACCGATTCACTGTGTTCCAATATTAACCTTGATAAATTGGAACATTAACCTCGAGAAATTATCATTATAACTATTGTCATGATTTATATGAATCTTAAAATCTCACGATTATACGATTCTATTTTACAATTATGATTTCTCCTCACTTTCAATTTTACTTAAAATTACGATTTTGACTGCTTTGATTCAACCTACTCGTTTTCTTATTTATTTGGGGTGGCGCGGACAAGCTAACTCTAACTAACATTTTTATTTATATATACTGCGTTTGCCAGCTTTTTGCAACGACTTAAAGCATCTGCAAGTACTAAGCCTCAATGGTAATAATCTGCGGGGTGAGCTGCCACGATGCCTCTCAAACTTGACTTCTCTTCAATTCTTAGATGTACAGAGAAATCAATTTTCGGGAGATATAGCTGAGTCCCCTCTTCGAGCTCTCTTGTCCCTCGAATACATCGACATTTCCGACAATCAATTTCGGATTCCAATCTCGCTCTTCCCATTTTTTAACCATTCTCGTCTTCGAAGCTTCAACGGGGAATCTAATCAAGAAATTTACGGAGATGACCAATATGATTTGGTACGGCGGCAGGATATACCACTTTTTCAACTCGAACGACTACTTTTGTCTTCATCAAATGGTGATGGTGGTGGATACCGATTCCCTAACTTTCTCTATTATCAAACCAACTTGGAAGGCGTTCATATCTCAAATGTCAACATGAAGGGAGCTATTGGGTTCCCAAGGTGGTTGCTTGCTAACAATACCAACTTGGAGTATCTTCATCTCCCCAACTGCTCACTTTCAGGGCATTTTCAGTTACCGACGGTTATCCATAAAAATTTCTACAGTTTAGATATCTCGAGCAACGACTTCTTTCCTAGCCCTATCTCACCTGATATTTGCACTTCCTTTCCCTACATACAGTTTCTATATATATATGACAACAATTTCCTTGGCAAAATACCACAATTGTCAAACTGTTCCACTTTGAAAACATTGGATGCTAGTGGGAATCAACTTTCAGGTGATATTCCAAAATGGATTTGGAATATGTCGACGCTCAACTTTCTAGACCTTTCAAGGAATAAGTTTTCAGGAGGTCTACCATCGGGTTTTATTTCACCAACGATGGAGGAAGTTTATTTGTCGAGAAATCAATTGGGAGGAACCTTATATGATCGAGATGAGACATCTAGTGGTGCTGATGAAATTGATTATTCAAGCTACTCGTTAGGCTTCTTGGATCTCGGTCACAATCGTTTCACAGGGAAAATACCGAAATGGATTGCTGGATTGAGACCTCAATTGCGCTATATCTTATTGAACGACAACCAGTTTTATGGAGAGATTCCAGTGGGGTTTTGCATGGAGAATGCAAATCTGATCGACCTTTCTCACAATCTTTTGTCTGGTCATCTTGCCTATGAGATATTCTTATCAAATAACACCAAATGCAGTGAAGGGTATGAACTCGTTGGCCACCCTGATGCTTGTATGGAGTTTGTCACAAAGACACATTTATATACTTACAAAGGGGAGCTTCTCGAGTTAATCTCTGGTTTGGATTTATCGAACAACAACTTCACTGGCGAGATTCCCCCCCAAATCGGTCATCTGGACTACATCAAGGTTCTCAATTTGTCATACAACAAGTTCACAGGACCCATCCCGCCAAGTATTGCAAACCTGTCAGAGATTGAGAGTTTGGATCTTTCTCACAATAGTCTCAGCGGAGTGATCCCCTCTCAACTTACAGAGCTGCATTCTCTATCTTTTTTCGGTGTGGCTTACAACAACTTATCTGGTATGTGTCCTCGGAAGATTGCACAATTCAGTACATTCGACGAAAGCAGCTATCAAGGAAATCCCTTCCTTAACTGCACACTACCACTCGTGACACCGGATCCATCATTAAGGCCAACAACTTCTGATGCTGATGCTGATGATGATGACGATGACGGAGAAGGAGTGTTTATTGATATGGAGAGTTTCTATGCAAGCGGCTCGGTATCTTACGTCATGGCACTGTTGATAATTGTAAGTGTTTTGTACATAAACTCATACTGGCGACGAGTATGGTTTTATTACGTTGGGGTCACCATAACTACTTGCTATTATTTTGTGGTGGACCATCTTCCGGTGCCGGCTAGATACAAGGTGTGGGAACCTCGCATATAGTTGATGATTTCGTCAAGACGAGCGGTGGTTTCCCTTATATATTCGGCCAATATCCCCAAATTGCAAAACTTTGTATTATCAGTTAATTGCTATTCTAATATCACCTATCAAGCCGTGGTAGTAGCTAGTATACGTGCTTTTCCATGCCCAAGTTATTGGGTTTGAAATTTTGTGTGAATTAGTTTTGGGTCAACGAAATTTGGGCTCCATGGGAAGACTTGACCCATCCTCAATATTTGTGGTTGCCCCTCCACCATGGGTTATATGACTTTCGGTCGATGTGGGTGTATTTGTGTTCACACTTAATATTTGTATATAGAGGTGGTAATATATAATCCAATTCATCAATACAATTCAATCCATCCAACTAATTCAATTCATTTAAATTCAATTCATCTGATCCATATCCAATTGGATTGGTGGATTTATGAACTGTTGGCAAATTATAGTTGAGTAACTATATTTTTAATATTTTATAATTTGGTACCTAAATTTTTTTTATACGAAAAATACCGTTGAAAAATCACGTTTGGTGCCTAAATTTTTTTATTATGACATTTTATTACCTAAAACTTTTAAAATTTACATAGCATTGGATGTCATTTGGATACATGGATCAATCCACCAATCCATAAGATCAAATCCACTTGATCCATGGATCTATCAATCCAACCGACCAATCCATTTGCCAGCTCTATTTGTACATGATATATTTCGACGAATAAGAACCGTCGGCTATTATTTTAAGATTATATGGAGAATTTTGAATTGAAATTCACTCATTAATTACTAATTAGAGGTTAGAATATAGTATCATATATCCTCTCAAACTCCGATAATTTCGTGATCTAAATAGCAAAACTCAAAACTCGATGATCGTACGCTAACACGAAGCATCTGGTTGTAAGCGAGATGATCTTTGGTAAGAAGCATTGCTTGCCTCCATTCCATTACAGATTATAAATTTTGATTAGGACAGACCAAGAGCTTTGAAATTACTGATATCAATTGATATCAATTATAAGCTCACATAGTCACATGCATGCATGACCACTGATTGGGCTAGAGAATTGGTGTAGGTGAATTAATTATTGTTGAGTAGCATTAACTTCTCATTAATCTCTCTTCACTAATCGTTGTCGAGGTAAATGCTGTCAGGCTGTGTCATAAACCGGTTAGTTCTAATAACTTAAAGTTGTCGAGAAAAAATTATTATGAATCTTATACCATTCCCTTACACGCCCTTTCAAACGAAAACCAAACTCACGATTTTAAGTTTGCATAGACCCACCAAGAAAGTTTGGCAGGGCTCAATTTCTCATACTTGAGAGAGTTTGGGAAATTTTCAAAATTGGGAAATTTTCAAAGTCCTTGTGATAATGCAAGTTTGTGGAAAACTGAGGCTGGCCAGTGATTGGACATGGGAGTAAATTCCACAACCACAAGACAAAGGCAAGTTGGCAACTTGGTAGTAAGCACTAAGAGGGAGCTTTGACTTGACTTTGAGTTAAGAGGCTTTTTTACAGCTGTACCTTTCTCCTGCCTCTCCTCAATCACCATGTATATAAAAGAGAATCCAAATGTTGCAACAATCTTGAATTCTCAAGCAAAGAAAGATCAGAGCTATAGCTAGCTAGAAAGAAAGAAAGAAAGAATGAGGATATGGCTGCAGGCTGTGTTACTACTACTGCTGCTGACGATCCCAGAAATATTGAAGGGCTGTGATGGCTGCTGGGAAAACGAGAGAATCGCCCTCCTTCACCTCAAATCCTCACTTCATGATGATCCAAACAATCTGACACCTCCATTAATGGGCGGCGGCGGCGAGAAGGGAACAAAGAATCATTCCGATGACGACTGCTGCCGTTGGGATGGAGTTCGTTGCCATCCCACCACGGAGAAAGTCACCGAGCTCACGCTTACTAATACCAACAATGAAAACTCGACATTGCCGTATTTGAATGCTTCCTTCTTGCTGCTGCCTTTCCAAGACTTGAGAGTGCTTTCACTGTTCGGCTACCATATACTTGGTTGCTTGGAGATTAATAATAATGCAGGGCATCAGCCTCGTGGTTTGGAACGTCTTCAAATACTTTACTCCATCATTGCATGCAACAACTTCCTCGAGGGTGTTGGCAGAGTAATGACCAATCTCACTCATCTGGAGATCCTAGAGACGAGACTGAGCTCCACCATCCCTCAAGGTATTATGTCAATAAACTAGTTGGTCCCAATAACTCGCGAGTTGTTGGGAGAAGAAGGTTATGCTGGATCGATCTTATACCACTCTTTAACACACCCCGCCTCAAACGAAAGCCAACCCATGGGCTTGAAGTTTGCACAGGCCGACCATAACATGTGCTTTAAACAAAAGGTTAATATTGGGGGGTCGCGTGGAGATTCGAACAAACGACATTTCGGTTCTAGGCTCTGATATCATGTCATAAACCAGTTGGTCCCAATAACTCGAGTTGTTAGTGTTAGTGTTGTGGTATATGATCCACGATTGAACTTCTCCCAACAACTCAAGTTATTGGGATCAACTGGTTCATGACATGGTATCAGAGCTAGCAACGATCAGCTAAGCCCCGATCCAATTCCTCTCTTCTTCCTCGTCCTTGCTTGTCTATTCATCTCGTTCAATTATGGCCGACTCCTCTGTTTCGGCAGCAGCAGAAGACACAATCATTACATTAATTCAAAGGTCTTGTGTTCGATTCCCGATGACCCCCATTTGTTAAGCACATGGTATTCTTGTCTTCAGACCTGTGCAAACTTCAACCCTTGTGAGTGGCTTTCGTTTGAGGGAGCGTGTTAGTGTTGTGGTATATGATCCACGATTGAACTTTTCCCAACAACTCGAGTTATTGGGATCAACTGGTTCATGACAGTTAAGAGAAGATTATGTTGGATCTTATACCACTCTCTAACATATTACACGAACTATACCAGTTTTCTTATTTGAGCGCCTAAGGACAAGGTAACTCTAATTTAACCAGTGTTTCTCTTTGTTACTTATTGTGTTTGCCAGGTTTTTGCAACTTAAATCATCTGCAAGTACTAAGCCTCGACGAAAACGATCTGTCGGGTGAGCTGCCGCGGTGTCTATCGAATTTGACTTCTCTGCAACACTTGGACGTAAAGAGGAATCGATTTTCAGGAGATATAGCCGAGTCTCCCCTTCCAGCTCTCATGGCCCTCGAATACATCGACATTTCACACAATCAATTCCGAATTCCAATGTCCCTCCTTCCGTTTTTCAACCATTCTCGTCTTCGACACTTCGTGAGCGGATATAATCGAGAAAGTTATGGAGATGCCGCCGCCGCCGCCGATCAATATGATTCAGTACGACAGCCACTTTTCCAACTGGAACAACTGGACTTGTCTTCGCCGCATGTTGATGGCGGATATGTCAAATTCCCCAAATTCCTCTATTATCAAAACAGCTTGGAAGCTGTTGATGTCTCAAATGTCAACATGAGGGGAGCTGTTGGGTTACCAGGGTGGTTGATGGATAACAACACAAACTTGCAGGATCTTTATCTCACCAACTGCTCGCTTTCGGGGCATTTGGAATTGCCCAAGATCATCCATGAGAATCTAACTAGTTTAGACATCTCCAGCAATGACTTCTTTCCTAGCCACCTACCACAAGATGTCTGCACGTCCTTTCCAAATATGTTACATCTATCTGTATCCGACTGCAACTTCTTTGGTAAAATACCATCGCAGTGGTCAAAGTGTACCTCATTTCAAGGACTGGACGCAAGTAAGAATCAACTGTCGGGTGAGATTCCGAAATGGATCTGGAATGTGTCGACGCTCCTAGACCTTTCGAGCAACGATTTTTCGGGAGGTCTACCGCCGGGGTTCATATCACCCTCGATGGAGGAAGTTTACTTGTCGAGAAATCGATTGGGAGGGACCTTGTATGATCAAGACGAGACTTCTCGCGCTGCCGATGATATTGATTATTCAAGCTACTCATTGGCCTTCTTGGATCTCAGTCACAATCATTTCACGGGTAGAATCCCTGAATGGATTGCTAGACTGAGACCTTATTTGGCCTATATCTTATTGAATGACAACCAGTTTTATGGAGTGGTTCCAACAGGGTTTTGCTTGGAGTGTTCGGGGTTGATTAACCTTTCTCACAATCGTCTTTCTGGCCGTCTTGTCCGTGCAATATTCGATTCAAATATTACCAGCTCTGGCGGACCATCGAATATGATCCAAAGCCCTGTTGGTGATGTGGAGTTTGTCACAAAGACACATTTATATACTTACCAAGGGGATCTTCTCCTTCTATTCTCTGGTTTGGATTTATCGAGCAACGATTTCACCGGCGAGATTCCTCCCCAAATTGGTCATCTGGACTACGTAAAGGTTCTAAATTTGTCACACAACAAGTTCACGGGACCGATCCCGCCCAGTATTGCAAACTTGTCTCAGATTGAGAGTTTGGATCTTTCTCACAATAACTTGAGTGGAGTGATTCCCTATCAACTCACGAAGCTGAATTCTCTATCCTCTTTCAGCGTGGCTTACAACAATTTATCTGGTATGTGCCCTCCGATGATTGCACAATTCAGTACATTCAATGAAAGTAGCTATGGAGGAAATCCCTTTCTTAACTGCACATTATCACCCATGACATCAAATCCACCACTAAGACCGACAACTTCTGAGGATGATGACGATGATGATGGAGAAGGAGGGTTCCTTGACATGGAGAGTTTCTATGCAAGCGGCTTGGTATCTTACATCATGGCGTTGTTGATAATTACTAGTGTTTTGTACATAAATTCGTACTGGCGACAAGTATGGTTTTATTATGTTGGGATCACCGTAACTACTTGCTATTATTTTGTGGTGGACCATCTTCCAGTGCCGACCAGATACAAGTTCTGGGAACCTTCCGTATAGTTGATGATTTCTTGAAGACGAGTGGTGGTTATATTTCATTTTTCTGATATGGAATAATTTGTAATGGATAATTTTGTGTGAATTGCTATTCTGCATTATTTGTGAATGTTTTTGGTATTGTTTCTCATATGTATCTCGTCAATTTTGCCAAATTATAAATCTTTCTAGTATAAGTCAATGTCGAATTATGATTATTATTGGTTCACAATTGTGTCCACATGGCAGTTTATGATGATGACTATGATCCCTTCTTAGGAAAAGTAAGTAAGCTTGGACTTGTTCGTGAAGGCTTCTTGGTTTCTACATTTCCCAAAATTCAATGGCAGTTTATGATTATTAGTAAATTAGTTCGCGCTTTGTTGCGGGTATTTGATTGCTTGTTATCTTTGCACTCTTTAACTTCTAAGATTTGTTTGTAAATAATCTTGACAACTAATACTCTTTCAACCAATTTGAATTTTGTGTCATTTACTTGGAAAATATAGTCTTATTCATAAAAGAAGAGGTTAATACGATTATAGCTAATACTCATTCACCAACCTGTGTTTTTTAAACTAGTTCAATGAAAAAGCATATCATCAAAGGACGGAAAAATAACATGACACGCAAAAAAAAAAAAAAAAAAAACACGCCCACAATTTGGTGGCGAATCCACAAACACATCAGGATGACAATGGTGGATTCATTGACTAATTTAATCCAATTGATATGATTCATATGAGACTATAGTATCGAGTCCGATACAAGTGGTCGGATATGATTTTAGTTTCGTTTGATCTAAAAAAAATTGTTTATAAGGGCGACGAAATTTATTAACGAAAGAAGAATTGTAAAAAATTATCAGCTTAAACAGGAATCAGCAGGTAGTTAACCGGATTGAGTCACTTGATTTGGGTCTTAACCAAATGCTTGATACTTCTTATGACATATTTCACGTGTTGGCAAAAGCCAGGTTTTCCGTAGTGCATCTTCCACGCAATTCATGTTTAACTCAAATCCGATGAATTTTTCCAATGGAAATTAATTTGATAACATGACAATTGAAGTGAAGTTGTGGAAAATTGACATATATATGAAAACAAATGCGATATGGACGAATGAGCCCAAACATTACGCATATCCCTTAATTGGTGGCAAATTCAGAACCATATATGAAGAGAAGAAGAAAAAAAAACTAAAGGAAAGAAAGGTACGTGGAGTCGTGGACGATGTAACGCATGCATGGCGACTAAGTCAGCATGCAGAGGAGACTTTGACTCTATATAGCATCCAAATTCCAAAGAGATCAGTAATGGGTTTGGTGTGGTTTTAGAATGATCATCATTTTAACAATTAATTCATCCGTGTTCCTAAAATATTATAATTATCTCTTACATTCAAATCTTGTTCATTTTCTCGTTATAAAAAAATTACGTGCTCGAAGAAAATTTTCAGATTATATAAAAAAAATTTTAGAAATTCATGATTGTTCAAGATTGTGTGCATGAGTGGGTTTTCTCCGAATCTCATACTGATTGGTTTTGGTATAACATGTTACATCATCTCTTAGTTTTGGTTATGATTTTAAAGTCGTTGTTCGAGAATGGGTGGAATTCATGAAGTCATCAGCAGGAGAGTTGAGTACTCGGATTGAGGAAGACTTTGACAACAGTAGTGATGAACCAAAGGTGATTTGGGCTCCATGGGAAGACTTGACCCATCCTCAATCTATGTGGTTGCCCCTCCACCATGGGCTAGAGAATTGGTATATAGGTGAATTATAATTGAGTAGCAATTCACTCCTCCTCAAATGATAGACCTCTTTCCTATTAGTGGTAGACATCGGTCTAGAACCACATTGAGTTGAGATAGAATCAAACCAAAAAAGAAAAAGAAAAAAAAAAGGGCTGGAACCGAATCAAATAATATTTGATTTGGTCCATTTTTCTTCATACAAACCAAATCGAAATATATTTGATCTTATTCGATCCAAATACAAATTCAGTCTGATGTGAACCGGATCGTTGCCCCATGCACCCAGTGACGGAACCACAATCAACCAAGGAAGATAGGCTGCACTACCTTGGATTGACAAGCCCACACAAAAAGATACACGCAATAATTAACCATGCAACAAGAGGGATTGAACAATTGATCTGGCTTGTATTAGAGTAGCATTCCACCATTACAATATAAGCTGCTGTTAAGTTTAATTATACATTAAGAATACATTTATTTATTTAAAAGTGACATCCTTGATAGTTTGGATGATGAATATATTTTAGATATTTTTTCGGATAATGAAAACACGTCGTGGAATGTGGATCATTGGAACACGTTAATAGAAGGTATGTTTTTTTTGGCAATCAAGCAGTTTAACCACGATTTAACAATGATTTCAGCATAAAACACCCTATCGCTGATTTTTTCGGTACAATCTCTGATATGATTTTTTCGATCCGTGATTTTGACCCACCTTATCAATATTCCTGGCTAGGGCCCCACCCGTATTTCCCACTATCGCTGTCTGAGAAAAATGGTGCCCCGGCCAGCTAGACTGATGAGCTAGGTTGAGCCCGAAAGGAACTCAATGTGGAAACTTCGCAACAAAACAAACAAACAAAGACACCAATCCAGGGTTATATAAAAGAGAGCCCAACTGCAGCAATAATCTTGAATTCTCAAGCAAAGAGAGAGCTACATAGAGAAAAAAAGAAAGAAAGAAAGAAGGAAGGAAGTATTTTCAGAAGAGAATCATGAGGGTAGGGAAACCAAAGACGTATTATTGCTGCAGCAGCAGCTTCATTACTGCATCTCTATGGCTGCAGGCTGTTTTGCTGTTTACGATCCCAGCAGAATGGCAGCTGGGCTGTGATGGCTGCTGGGAACACGAGAGAATCGCCCTCCTTCCTCTCAAATCCTCGCTCCACGATCCAGATTATTATCATGTGAGTGGATGGGGCGGCGGGAAGGGAACAAAAAATCACTCCGACGTCGATTGCTGCCACTGGGATGGAGTTCGTTGCCATCCCGCCACAGGGAGAGTCACCGAGCTCATGCTTTGGAATGAAAACTCAACAACAAGGCCGTATTTGAATGCTTCCTTGTTGTTCCTGCCTTTCCAAGGTTTGAGAGTGCTCTCACTGCAAAGCTACCATATCCTTGGTTGCATGGAGAATCTAGGTTTCTTGAAACGCCTTGAAATTTTCTACTCCACCATTGCATGCAACAACTTCCTTGAGACCCTTGGCACCGTAATGACCAATCTTACTCATTTGGTGATTCTAGATGCGAGTCTAAGCTCCACTATTCCTCAAGGTATAATATAATAATAATATGAGTTCAACCTACTGGTCGGTTTTGATCTATTTGGGCAAGGTACGTAACTCTAATTAGCGTTTTTTTTCCTTCTTCCTTCTATTGTGTTTGGCAGCTTTTTGCAACTTGAAGCATCTCCGAGAAATAGTCCTTCAATCCAACGATTTGCGGGGCGAGCTGCCAAATTGTCTATCGAATCTGACTTCACTCCAAATCTTTAATGTAGGGGTTAATCAATTTTATGGAGATATAGCTGAGTCTCCCCTTACAACTCTCTTGTCCCTCGAAGAGATTGACATAATCTTGAATCAGTTCCGAATTCCAATCTCGCTCTTCCCATTTTTTAACCATTCTCGTCTTCGAAGCTTCAGAGCGGGAGATAATCGGCAAATTTATGGAGATGATGACCAATATGACATGGTACGACAAGATACACCACTTTTCCAACTGGTACTACTACTTCTGTCGTCGTCGGATGGTAATAATGTTGGTGGATACGTCGGCCCCTTTCCTAAATTTCTCTACCATCAAACACGATTGGAATATGTTTCTATCTCAGATGTCAGAATAAAGGGAGCTGTTGGGTTCCCATGGTGGTTGCTGGCTAACAACACAAACTTAGGGGATCTTCAGCTCCCCAGCTGCTCGCTTTCAGGGCAATTTCAGTTGCCGACGATCGTCTATGAAAATCTGACTCGATTAGTTATCTCTAGCAATGATTTCTTTCCTGGCCCCATCCCACATGATATATGCACTTTCTTTCCCAATATAGATAGTCTATCCGTATCCGAAAACAAATTCTTTGGTAAAATACCGCCACAGTGGTCAAATTGTTCCTCGTTGCAAGTATTGGAAGCTAGTGACAATCAACTGTCGGGCGAGATTCCAAAATGGATTTGGAATGTCTCGACGCTCCTCGTCCTGGACCTTTCAAGTAATGATTTTTCGGGAGGTCTGCCACCGGGTTTTATTTCACCATCGATGAACGAAGTTTACTTGTCGAGAAATCAATTGGGAGGGACATTATATGATCAAGATGAGACTTCTGGTGGTGCTAATGAAATTGACTATTCAGGGTACCAATTATACCTCTTGGATCTCGGTCACAATCATTTCACAGGTAAAATCCCGAAATGGATTGTTAAGCTGAGACCTCGATTGCGTTGTATCCTGTTGAATGACAACCAGCTTCATGGAGAGGTTCCAGCGGGGTTTTGCTTGGAGAATACAAATTTGATTGACCTTTCGCACAATCGTTTGTCTGGTCATATTGCCGGTGAAATATTCCGATGCACCATCTACTGTGAACGATCGGAATACTCCATTTCTTATGGTGGTTTGGAGTTTGTCTCCATTCCTTATGGTGGTTTGGAGTTTGTCACGAAGACACATTTATATACTTACAAAGGGTGGGTTGTCGATTTATTCTCTGGTTTGGATTTATCGAACAATGATTTCACTGGCGAGATCCCTATCCAAATCGGCCATCTGGAAAACACCCAAATTCTCAATTTGTCATACAACAAGTTCACGGGACCCATCCCGCCCAGTATTGCAAACTTGTCACAGATTGAGAGTTTGGATCTTTCTCACAATAATTTGAGTGGAGCAATTCCCTATCAACTCACCGATTTGCATTCTCTATCCTCTTTCAACGTGGCTTACAACAATTTATCTGGTAAGTGTCCTCTGAAGACTGCACAATTCAGTACTTTCGATGAAAGTAGTTATGAGGGAAATCCCTTCCTTAACTGCACAACGCCACTCGTGACACCAAATCCATCAGTAAGATCGACAACTTCTGATGATGATGATGATGATGATGGAGAAGAAGGGTTCATTGATATGGAGAGTTTTTATGTAAGTGGCTCGGTATCTTACGTCATGGTGTTACTAATAATTGCGAGTGTTCTCTACATAAACTCGTATTGGAGACGAGTATGGTTTTATTATGTTGGGGTCACCATAACTACTTGTTATTATTTTGTGGTGGACCATCTCCCGGTGCCGGCCAGGTACAAGGTGTGGGAACTTCGAGTATAACCGGTGATTTCGTAAAGATGGGCGCGGTGGTTATAATCCTTTTTTTCTTATTGAATCATTTGTAAGGAATAGTTCTTTGTGAATGTTTCTGGGTATAAGTTTCCCGTATGTTTTTTTGGTATAGTTTCCCATATTGGCTGATTATCACTGTGCTTTGGGTGTGGTCGAGAATTCAAACTTGCCTCCTCAGAGTTTGGAGTTTGGGTCAACGGGAATATGTAATGGGCTTCCACACCATGTGGAGAAGGGAATCTAAACTGTTTTAATTTTTATTGGGTTGAAGAAGAATTATGTAATGGGCTTTTTTTTCTTCTCTCTTCTTTTCATTTGTGAGCTCCATGCACTAGTCCCATTGGTTTGCGTGGAGACCAATCTCATGCAGTAGGAGTAGATCATAGTTAGTAAATACTCCGTTTAATCCACGTATATGTATTCATACGTACTTTATTCGTTTAAAATTTCCGTATCTGTATTATTGTCAAACTGTTTCATTTGCTTCCGTTCATTTGATAGTTCTCGTACTAAACACGTATAAAACCCGTATAACACGTTTAATATCCGTATTTAATGAATTAAATTGTTGCTTTTACTATTATTGATATATTTATTTATTTTTAAAATAATTATTTTAATATATTTATGACTTTTAACATACTATTAAACATAAAATTAACTTAGACATAAAATAAAGTAATCATACGTATTTTATACGTAACTTTTCCGTACCGTATTTTACTAACTACGGACTATGGAGCAATCTGGTCAGCGTTTTGTGAGGAAAGACACGGTCAACAAGGCAAAAAAGAAAGGCCAGTCAGCTTGAAAATGAATTGAAAAGACGAACCACGAGGCACGTTTCGGCGGTATGGGTAAGAGATTAAAAGTGGGCCCGCCGCCCATAGAATCGGGAAGGGAAAACAAGAGGCCCAATTAACCGAAGCCCACGATACGCCAAAAATATCGCGGGAATCCCGAAACTACCCTACTCAGTACTCACGTGCCACCTCACCACCACCTGCCTTTTATCAAAATAGTATAAATTCATAACTGGACTTAAGCTAGGTTTGCCGAATTAGCTAGCCAAACAGGCTTTTTAGAAATTAAAAAAAAAAATCCCCTCTTTTTTCCCTCTCTCTAGATTCTTCTTCTTCTTCTTCCACACTGAACTCAGAAGTTACAAAAATGGCGATTACTGCAGCAACCGGATCCTCAAGACGGCAAACAGCCGGAGGATCGGTCAACCGGTCCTACTCCCAGTCCGGCGGCAGATTCAGCCTCCCGCCGTATCAGTCCTCTTCAACAAACGGCTTCGCTTCATCCAGCTCCAGCTTCGACACTCGCTCCTCCACCTTCTTCGCTGGGAACGAAATCAGATCCGCTTCACCGCCGCGAGTCAGCATGTCCGGCCAATCCATGTCGGCCTCCGCCGTCCGATTCTCCCTCGACGGGTCGGTCTCTCCCAACCGGTCGATTTCCACCGTCAGCCCCTCCCGGAGCCGGACGCAGGTGGTGAGGAAGCAGCCCGGTCCCAAGAAGACGTGTATGTGCTCGCCGACGAACCACCCCGGGTCCTTCCGCTGCAGCCTCCACAAGAACCAGAACGCGCCGGCGCACGCGCCGAACAACCGCCTCAACGCGCGCAGATCCGCGATGACGAACTCGCTGGTGAGGATCGGCGGCGTGGAAGGGGATCTGGTGAAGCGAGCGCTGGCGGCGTTGATCCGGCCGAGCTCCCACCAGCAGAGGCGCCGCGCGGGGTTCCAGTCCCGGCCGAGCCGGCTCAGATCCATGTCCAAGGTTGAATCGTAACGGTTTGTGGAAAACGAGAGAACTCGAAACTCTCTTTACTTGGGTCTTCCGAATTTTTCCCCCCTGCGACGGAGGGCTCAGATCTGCGGTCAAAGCCGGTTTGACTGAAGACGTCGGGGAAGAAACTGCCTGGAAACATTCCATCTAGCCTGTAACTCCGGTGACCGGGAAAAATAGTGTATATAGAAAGAATCCTATATGATGAAAAAGTTATATATTCTAATTTGCTGCCATCAATGGCGAAAGTTTTGGTAACCATAATTAGGGATCTCAGTCTTGGAACGATGCTTGGTTAACTCCAAATTCGATGCTAATTCCTCATCGCCGTCGCCGTGATTCCCGTGTAGTGTGTTTCCGGTTGTGATTGCTCTCCGTTCGCCGTTCAGGCGTCCTCCGTCGCCCGTCCCTTTCAGTTGGTGAGTTCCGTTCTGTATGTTGATTGATTCCTTTATTTACTGTATTAATTTTATCATTTTTTACTTCGGTTTTACCGTCTTGCAGGTGCGGTTATTGGTCTGATTAAAGCTGGAATCGGTGGTTATGGAGCCAAAATGGTGATTATTGGTTGATCTGTTTATCAGTGGTTCCTGGTTGGACCGGAACTCTGATTGGATTACTGGAATGAACCGAGCATTGGATTCACCAGAGGACCGGAAACCTAGACGTTACCATGGGCAAAATTTTGAACTCGGTCAAGAGCGGAAAATTAAAATTAAAGAAAATTGGGGAAATTATTTGAAGATGGCTGGGAATAAAGTGCGAAATTAGGTTGGAAAACAAATTTAATTAATGGAGTTTCATAATTTAATTAATTGGTCAATGGCTCATTTTAGTTTTGAAGTGGACGTTTTTTTTTTCCTAGTAAAAGGAAACGTACAAAGCCAGGCTGGTGAGAGGATTGATCAGTATAATAAGCAAGGGATAAGTTCACCCAATGGGAAAATTTATGAGTTTTGATAACCTCAAGGATGATTTGAATCATGAAACGATTAACGGCGGACTGATCATTACTTAGGACGTATCTGTGGTAAGATTACTAGAACATCGTAACGTCGTAACGAAATGCTGGTACACGCGTTTGATGGTTTTCAGTTTATGATCTTAATTGTTGTTCGCTGTTGTATAAACAGAAATCGAGATCGTATAGAGATAACTTTTGGTCATCCAAATGACTTATTGAGAGTTGCTATCGCAGCAATTTGATCATATAATTGGGTGATCTACTGACTAATTAGATTTTAGTACGTGGGGTTGCTTGCCAAGTTGGGCAGCTGCCTGTCACTACCAGGAGCGGTATTGGGAATGTGATGTGTCATATCATCTCAACATCCATTACTGCTCTTTTTCCTTTCTTCTTCTTCTTCTTCTTCTTCCTGTGAAATAAATGAGGGTGAAGAGGACTTTGGAAAAACCGTCGACATGGAATGGAAAAAGGGTTTAGAGCGGAAGAACAAGAAGAGATAGTGGTTTCCATGGTATACGAAGCTCACTACGTGATTAGTTAATTCCTCGTTTTTGTGCGATTATGTTATGCGATGGAAACGTGCTGATGAAAGTATCAACGAAAATTTATCTATTTCCTCTCTAATAGAAATAGGAAGAGTCGGGACCAAATGCAATAAAAAAAATAACATCAGGATATAATACACTCTTTGAACCTTCTCTTATTAACATAAGAATAAAAATGATGATAGTCCTCTTTCTCTTATGTAAATCTCTTTGAATCTTTTAACAAGATTCAATACTATCTTCGAAATACTTCTTCATCTCCATTAAGGTTGTTTTGTTGGTCTGTGAATTCACAAAATTTATAGTTCACGTCAAACGTGTTTAAGGTATATAAATGTTAATCATCTTATGAAATGAATACATCCACTGAACTTAGTTAATTTTGATCATTTTTCCATGGATAATATTCTTATGAAATGAATACATCCACTGAACTTAGTTAATTTTGATCATTTTTCCATGGATAATATTCGAAGGAATCACGATCTTTTGGATTTTTTTGAATGAACTGTGTTTAAGAGTTTTCCTTTCTAGTTAAACTTGGGCAAACATGGTAAACAGTTTTCCCACTCAAAGCTCAAAAAAGCTATTTTGAAGGATGGATATAATTTTACTTTCTAGTTGTTTAATCCAACTTTTCGATTACGTGTACCTAGGATAAATATCAAATTATAGTCAAGTAGAACCCTAATTAAAGAAAAGAAAAGGGATCAACATGTCATGATTTTCTATAATATCACTTGCTTGTCACTACCCCATTGCAATGATAAAGTTTATGTCAACTTTGAGAAACTTATTAGACCCAAACAAATATCAGTTTCACTAGTGGATAAGATATTATTAAATTGATACCTAGACCTCAAAACAGTACTTACTCTTACCTATAAGAGATATATATGGTTGATAAGAAAATCAAACTCAATAGTTGACAAATTTGCAAACAAACTAGAGGATAGGTGGGTCTACCCTTTTGAGACAACATAGTGTATCTGATCGATTTCAAAAATTCTAATACGGATGGGTTGATATACATTGCAGGCGTAGTGAAAAGTTCGTTAAAATAACAAGTGCGTGCCCATGTTCATGGTAACCTTAAGACCCTGTTTTCATTTTTCGTCGTCGATCAGAAACCAAAGAGCGGTAATGGTGGACAGTGTTGTATATACTACGAATCTCCAGGCTCTGTATGGATTGGTAAGAAGAAAAAACAAAACTCATTGGCAAAAGAGTACACAATTAGAGGATAAGGATTCAAATAGTTTATCCACTAATTACTTCCTTCCTGAGGATACTAAGATGCCAAGTTTCCCCCCTATTCAATAAAGACTTTCCCACATCAATATAAAAACCCACTTAGCTTACATCATCTTCAATTGAGCAAGTTGCTACACTTTTTCATAAACAAGGCAATGGCCCATTTAAAGTAGAAGAGTAGATGTGTACATATACCCATTGATGATGGTGATAATAACTTGCAATACTGCACATAATTATCATGAAGATGGTGGTGGCAGCCCACATGATGGTACAAAGAAGATTAGGATATGCAATTTCGCCCAATTTTACTACCTATCCTTGCTTTTATCGACCAACGATGTCTACATCTTGGCTGGGGAGTTTGAGAGATGAATCCCAAATTTTCCAATTGATAGTGTCGTGTTTCAAGATGAGTTGGACAAATTATATTGGTGTAATGGTATTCTCACCCTGCAAGTTTTGGTCTCATTCTATCTTAATTTCTTACACTAACTATTTATATTTATCTTATTTTGACGTTTCTTCAACTAGTTAGATTTTATATTTCGACTAATCAGATTCAACTACCCATTTTATTATCACTATTTTTCATTCATTAAGTATTTTCCCGTCGTTTTATAGTAAAAAGTAAAATTCTGCGTATGTTTTTATCAAATAATATGTAAGAGTGGGTTGACCCATCCCGTTCCGTACCCGCAAGGATATTGCCCACCCCAAGCCGCACTAGCGTGGGACACAACATGAAAGAGTATTGAAGTACCTGTCCTGCGCTCCCGCCCCCATTGCCACACTAGCTGGACACAATCTGGTTAGCGTATGCTCATGGGTTCGATCGGTATGTGTTGAAATGGTTGAATCGTGCCATTTATATGACCTTGATATTTAAATCTATATAATCAAAATAATAGAATCTGACGGTCCAACTATATCTACATTATTTGATCATGCTCCACTCTATGGATAAACCTTCACAGTAGAAGTTGGGGATTCAGGATCTCTTGTTCTTGTAGGGGAAGATATTGCTAGGAAAGTGTTCTTGTTTTTTTTTTTTTCTTTTTTCTTTCTCATCGCTTTCCAATTCTGGATTTTCATTTTTATACTCGATTTATTTTGTCATTTACAATGGTTGTCCAACTAATGAAGCACTGGACTGGAGAAGGACAGTTGAAATATATGAGCTAGAATGGACCGTCAATTTCATGGAGATATCAGTCCACTGGACTGGAGAAAGCCCAATTGAAAGAAGCTCCAAAACGAATGGGCTTGGGCTCTTTCTCAGACGAGAAATTCCTTTCCAATGCACTTTCCTCTTTCATGATCACGCAACAGTCTCCCAGTAGACCTTTTCTACCAATTTTCTATGTAGTGGGAGGTGCATGACTAAGTAAAGTAGTAAACGCAATTGAAAATGGCCACCTCAGAGGCTCTTACAGTGGTGAAAGAGTAAAGAAGGATAGCTAGCTTGGTCATAAACACTAGTGTTAGTCAAAATGTGTGGAAATGCGCATTTGCCAAACTTTTGAGCCTGAAATTCACCGCAAAACCAATTGAATCGGTGAGAGAAAGACGATAGGTAGAAACGAGTCGAACATGTGATGAGTGATCATAGTCCGAGATGTGTAATGATGAGGAAACCTTTACTAATAGGTTGTTATATGACGTTGTTGGATTGTACTCGTGTTTCAAGTCGTTCAATCGGACAGTGACATCTTTGAAAGATAATGTCAGCATAACTGATCCACCTTGGAGCACGCAAAATGTGACCTAACGTCGGCAGCACAAGTTGACAACAAGAAACCGAAAGTCTGAAATTTCGTGGCGTCCATGAAAATGACAAACGGAAGAAGAAAGAAGAAAACAGAGGACGTGAGAAAGGGAAAACAGAGGAATCGAAAAGGGGGAAAAATCAAAACTTTATAAGCAACAATTTCCCATTATGAAGTAGTGTGGACTGTGGAGTGTAGAGTAGTAGGTTGGTACTTGGTAGTGCTTGTTTGTCAGTCTCAAATTCAATCCTCCATTTCGTACGAACAAAAGCCGGCAGGCAGGGCATCACTTCGCTACCGCACTTTCTACCCAACATTTTCCGCTTTCTCTCTTTTTACCCTCGTCGCTTGTGCCATGGCGACGGCGACAACCCTGAAAGCAGGGACAAGGCCGCCGTGGGTGGGTCTCGGAGCGGCGATCTGGGTCCAAATTGCGGCAGGGAATGCGTACAACTTCCCTCTTTACTCCCATTCCTTGAAATCCGTGCTGGGTTTCAACCAGCAGCAGCTTTCTATGCTTGGAGTAGCTAACGATATCGGCGAGAACATTGGCGTTATCCCTGGGATCGCTTGCAATTACTTGCCTCCATGGGTTATTCTCCTCGTCGGATCTTTGGCTTGCTTCTTTGGCTATGGCGTCCTCTGGCTCTCCCTTAGCCGCACAGTCGAGTCCTTGCCCTACTGGCTGGTGAGTTTCTTTGTCTAGTTTCTTCGTGTGAAGTTCTGAACTTTTTTGCGTAATCCGACCACCCGATTGATGAAATGACTTGAATCTGTGCTCGGAATTGGTAAATTTTGGAACTTAGAAGCTATAGACTTTGTGATCCCCACCTGCAAGGAGCTTATATATTATGTAATTTTGGTGTTAAGTTCCAAACTTTACCGCGGATTTCGCCTACCCATCTGTCGAAATGACTTGATCAGGAATGGGTGTTTTTCTTGCGCTCGGGTAGGTTGTAGATCGACATGAAGCAAGGCAGATTATATACTGTGTTGCTTGTTCAATTTAATGATTGTGTAAATTGCATCAATCTCCGATGGGGAACTTCAATTTACTCTTCGTATTAACATGTTGTAACTTGGTAGTTGGTAAATTCCGTGATTCCAATATGCAAAGAGCTAATCTAACCATGAAACTTTGTGAAAACTACTTTTTTTCACAGCTCTGGCTAGCGCTATGTGTTGCTACAAACAGCAGTGCATGGTTCAGCACAGCGGTGCTGGTGACCAACATGAGGAACTTCCCTCTCAGCCGAGGCACCGTGGCTGGTATTCTCAAAGGCTATGGAGGAATCAGTGCTGCGGTGTTCACCGAGATCTTCAACATCTTGCTCCATGGATCCTCCTCCAAGCTCCTCATGTTCCTTGCTGTTGGGATTCCCATCCTGTGTTTTGCAGTGATGTACTTTGTGAGAGCTTGTACTGAATCATCTGGTGATGACCCTTCCGAAAATTCCCATTTCCTCTTCATCCAAGGTGCTCTTGTTGTGCTTGGCGTGTATGTCCTGACGAGCACAATACTTGATCACATGCTTAGCCTGAACCCTGCGGTTTGTTATGCGATTCTGGCGATACTGTTTGCCCTCCTTCTGGCTCCTCTGGCTGTTCCCATCAAGATGACTTTTGCTCAAGTGAGGAGTAGCAAATCAGTGTCCATCGACCAAAGAGTGTCATCTAATGACTCTTTGGTGCAGGGCGATGGGAGCATGGAGAAAACTGAGCCATTGCTGATGAAGAAGTCTTCGTCGGCAACAACAAGTGAGAGCTTTAGGGAATGCGACGATGGGTCGGAGGTGGCAATGCTTCTAGCTGAAGGGGAAGGAGCAATCAAGAAGAAGAGGAAGCCTAGAAGAGGGGAGGATTTCAGTTTCACTGAAGCTGTAGTGAAAGCTGATTTCTGGCTCATTTTCTTCATTTACTTCGTGGGAGTTGGCTCTGGCGTGACCGTGCTAAACAACCTGGCTCAGATAGGGATTGCACAAGGAATGCATGATACAACAATCTTACTGTCACTCTTCAGCTTCTGCAATTTTGCAGGGCGCCTTGGTGGAGGCGTCATCTCTGAACATTTCGTCAGGTTTGTTAGCAGCATTGACACAATGCTTGGATTGAACTTAGTACTGCTCTTTTCATGTTGCGTCCTTAAACTCAAATGGTATGAACTTTCCATTTGCAGGAGGAGAACAATCCCTCGAACGGTATGGATCACATGCGCTCAAGCACTGATGGTGGTGACATACCTCCTCTACGCATCTGCCATAGACGGGACCCTCTATGCAGCAACTGCGCTGCTCGGTATCTGCTACGGGGTTCAGTTCTCCGTCATGATTCCGACTGTCTCGGAGCTTTTTGGGCTGAAGCACTTTGGTATCTTCTACAGCGTCATATCGATAGGGAACCCCATCGGGGCATTCCTCTTCTCGGGCCTCCTAGCAGCATACGTTTACGATACCGAGGCAGCCAAGCAGAACGAATCGAATAGTATGCTGCACAGTTCTGGTTTCTCTTGCTTGGGTCCAGACTGCTTCAGGCTGACCTTCTTGGTTCTAGCTGGCGCCTCTGCCCTAGGCTCCATCTTGAGCTTCGTACTAACATTGAGGATCAAGCCTGTTTACGAGACCCTTTACGCTGGCGGCTCGTTCAGGCTGCCTCGGACTTCTGATGATCAGTAGTAGGGTCATCTGTTATTGTAGTAGGACTGAAGGTCTTATTTTTGGATGAGCTAAGGAAGCAGCATATATAATTATATATGTGTGTGAGATTTGACTATTTGTAACACCAAGTCCTTCTCCAATCGGAGCAAGGATTTGTTGTTCTGTCTACATATATGAAGGCCATGATGCAGAATCGCTAGAATCAGAGTGCGTTTAAGCAATTCTTCCATCTTATTTTCAAGAATTCGGAATGGAAGGGGATACGTACTTCGGCAAATTACCGCCGGAGCTACTAGGAAAAATAGCCACCGCCCTTCCGCTCGATGAAGCCACGAGGACCAGCATCCTCTCCCGCCGATGGCGGAGTCAGTGGAGATCGGCGCTGCCAAACCCGCACTTCGCCGGCAACCCGACCACCCAATTCGCCCCCAACGGTTACCCAATCTCGTGCTTCGACACCGTGGACGAATTCCTGAACTGGGTCGACAAGGTTATTACCCGCGGGGCCGCCGCCGAGCTCTCGATCGAATCGCTGGGGCTGAATTTCGAACCGGAGGATACACATTGCGTAGGGATGGCAATTTTGCCCATACCCATGGGTATTTTACTATCCAACCCAATTGGGTTGGGTATGAAATCCAAATATATGGATATGGGTAAAGTTTAATGGGTTTGTACCCATACCCATTTACTTTGGGTTGGATTTGGGTTTGTACCCATGCCCAAATACAAATTACAGTTTGGTACCTAAACTTAATAGATATGCATATTTAGTACCTAAATTTAATTTTTTTTGCATATAAGTCCTCAAAATATCGATGGAAAATTACGTTTTGGTACCTAAATTTTTTTGGTCTTACATTTTGGTACCTAAAATTTTCAAGTTTTACAAATAAGTCCAATTTTTGCATGTGTAGTTAAAACACTCTCAAGTAAATGGATATCCATATCCAACCCATACCCATTTAGATAATATCCATATCTAACCCAAACCTATATACACATCACCCAAACCCTACCCATAATAAATGGGTCTACTTGGGTTTGGGCAAAATTACCCATGGGTGGGTAAATTGCCATCCCTAATTGCGGGTGGATCGAGTTCAATTACAAGGAGGACGGATCCAATACGGCGGCGCCGCTGGTGGACGGCGCTTGCACCTGCTGCCGATTCAAGGTCGTGTCTTTTCGCAGGCCGGACAGAGTACTCTCCCTGAGCGGTCTGTTGTCGGGAAGAAGGCGGGGGGGACTTCTCAAGCGCTTGGCCCTGCGGAACTGCGACATGGGAATCCTGAGGAGCCAACTCACCGGCGCCGGCAACAGTTTTCAGTAAGCTAATACTTTCATATTTACACTGGAATTTCTGAAAGCAATGGAGTTTGGCGAATTTTCAGCGCTCTAAGTATTGGTTCGCTCGAGATCAAAGCGATCTAATTAGATTTGTGGCCAATTAAAACAAGCTATCTAATTAGATTCAATCAAAGTGATCCACCCAGATCGCTGATGAAGCCAGCGATTTACGTGTTTAGTTATCCGATCGTAATGATTTTGAGGGTGAATTTATAGTTTAATAAAGTTTTAACGCGTGTTAGGTGTAGATCGTTGATTTATGAGCGATTTTTTGGGGCAAGATCATTGGAGTTGGCTGATCTGCGTGGTTCGTTCTTGTCTCCAGCAATCTTGATTCTTGACTAGCTCTTCAGGATCGCTGGACACTGGTGCAAATCACGCACAACTCTACTACTTTGAAAAATATTAGTGTAGGTGTTGTATTGTGACATTTTTTTCCCATTCTAACTCTTATATCTTAGAAAAAATCCCTAACGAACTTTTATTGCTTCTGGTATGATAAGGTTTCTGATATCCTTGGTGGTGCAGAAGGGGCGATTCATAGAGGCGAGATTCCTGAGCTGTTTCATCTACGGTTGCCCGATTCTCCAGGAGGTGACCTTGGAAGACTGCTACATCGTGGACAATTACGAGTATGGGGATGAGGACGACACCGTTCTACGACCTTGCTCCGGTGGTCGGTTGATGATCGTGAGGGAAAGCTTGATGCTTTTGAGATTGACTAGGTGCAGTGGCTTCGCAGAAGTTGTGTACGTGTCCCGAAAAAGAAAAGATGATTATCGCCCCACAATACAAGATGACACGATAGAATTTGATTTTTCTGATTTCGAGCCATTATCGCCCGATGTTGCCTTATTGACACTCTCTTGGCAACTTGGGTGACAATGAACAGAGAGATTACAGGAGTGTCGGATGGATGAGGATGAAGTTGTGTTCAATTTTTTATGTTCAATTTGATCGTAATAAGTTTTAAATTGTACTCTACATGCCTGAAAAAGTAGTGATCCATCGGGTCCATTATCTGCTTTATTTGGATAAAAAATAGAACTGGGCCAAGAGCAAAAAGTGATGGTCCACTTTGGACAGCCCGACAGGCTATGCGGGCCTGGGAGTCACCGGCCTGTTATCCCTCCACTGCCTAGAGCGGGAAGCCGCGCTGCTCTGTGAAACCAGCCTGACGCTTTATCCCCCGACTCTAGGAACCAGGTCAACTCAGCCTTCGCCGAATCTCGCTGGCCCAACTCCAAGCTTGGAGCGGGCAAGCCAGAAATCTGACTCATCAAGCCCAGCCCTTGAGACCGGCCCAATGTTCCACCACATTATTGCCTCCACTCGGATTACAAGCTCGCGTTACCAAGCTCGGCGACAGATGTTGATTTCCATACAATAATAAACGTTATCAACAGCTTCAGTTTCAGCAATGTGGTCCTATTCTACATTACATGAATTCTTAATGTTACTCACAATACAAATATAATCTGTTATATATATAGTAATGTCAAACCTTTACGTACATTATATTGTTTTCTTGATACAGACATAATCATTAGTGCAACTTAGAATGCTCTAGCATCCGTCTTTCTAACAAAAAGCCCTTCGTGCATTACATGAATTTTTATAATCCCATTTACAAAACTCATGCAACTTTTACATGTTTTCCAAACATTGATGAAGAATGGTAAATCAAAACTGGACATACAATGACCAAATGGGCCGATAAATAATATAAAAAGTGATGGTTCGAATCGATAGCCCAGAGCGCCTCGACGATCAAACTGTGCTTGTTCCTTCTACCTCCAAACAAGAGACTCAACCCCTCAAGTAATGGCTCGAGCGCGGGACTTGACCGCCGGCCGAAAGGTTGAGCGTGTTACTGGTTCCGGGGTGCGCAGTTATGTTAAGACCGTCGATCCTCTCACAGCGGGAACCAGGGACACTCCTCAGTCGTCACCGGGAGTTTTCTGGTTAACCCATATGGCTGCCCGGAGGCTAAATTCAGGGCCGGCTAGCCTCCGGTGGGAATTGGGAAGGGTCCCATCACTTTATTGCCTCCACTCGGATCACAGGCTCTCGTTAGTGAGCTCGGCGATTCAAAACGCCTCCGCCGGGCAATATGAAGTGCAGCAGCCGGTTCAATTCCAACGATGTGGGAGTTCCTGTCGTCTATATCCTTATGGTTGTGTCTATTCTATTCTCCTGGAGTCCTGGTATCTAAATACGCAACTGCTGATCCTAATGGCTCTTTCGCCATTTGGTTTCGGTGGGTAAAAATCGCCGGGTTTGATTAGAAGTATACACGTGCTCAGATTGGCTATAGATTTCGGAGTACTCTGCTCGGGAAAACTTATTCGGCACTGTACTTGTTTTACTAATGAGTTGAGTTTGAGTTAATCCTTGTTGGGCTTGCAAGGCTCGTGAGCCGGCTCGGTTTCTGGGGCTTGTTGAGCTCAACTCATGAACTATGAGCTAGATTTGACGATATGGATATGGCGAGCCACCACAACTAGCAAATTTATGAGTGGAATCGATTAACAGCTTATCATTGGCTTCTTGATGATTTATAGGTTTGTTAGATTTACATATCTCACCACCTACGATGTTTAAGAAATTCGAGCACGCGACCAAATATATCTCATTTATAATTAAAAAGAGAAATTGTATATGTCATAAATTGCTTAGAGACTTATAATCAGTCAAGCTTGAGACAAATACAGGCTAAAATTTTCGTAAGCGAGCCGAGTTCGAGCTCAACCTAACTCAAAATAGATCAAAACTCACCTCGACTCGACTTATTTGCAACCTACACCATTCATTCAAAATGGATCTTGTTCTGTTGGAGAGTTTGGAAAGGTCGTAATAACGTTGTCTTCCTCCCACATGCTCAGTATACAATTCCCGTTCTCCGTCGCCAGTTTCTTGCTCATCACGCAGATATCCAGTTGGCTTCTTCGGCGGATATCTACCCCCTTCACAATGCTCGCTCTACTCAACTTCCCCATCCTCGTCAGTGCCCTACGCCTATTCCGGCCAAGGAGTTCGATTTGCGGTAGATGGTGCAACCAATTCTCCTCATGGTGGATCGTTGGGAGTCGGCTATTGTGTCTCAAGGCCTTGTTTTGCCTTTGGGTGTTATTTGCCAGGGATAGCCGATCCTTTCTTGGTGGAATTACTTGCGTTTCGTGAGGCTTTGTATTTACTGCATCGTTGGCAATGGTTCTCGATTCCGGTTCTCATCTCTGGTGATTCACAATTAGTGGTGGCTCGCTTGAATGACAGATGCACTGGCGACGTTGTTGGGGGTGCTATTTTGAGGGAGATCTTCCACCTACTCCGACTATTCCCTGCTGTTAAGTTTATTTTTACGCCTCGAGAAGCGAATCGGGCAGCCCATTTGGTGGCACGAAATGCCTTACGTTATCCTGGCATATCCCCTACTTTACATGATTTTTCTTATCTCTTATGTCTTTGAGTCCTTGTGAGGTGTGGCCGTAATTGTTGTGGCCCCTTCACTTGTTACCTATGTTATCCGCAAGGATTGCTTGACAAAAAAAAAAAAAAAACTCTTTCGCGATAAGAAAATAATTTTTCTTAATACACGAGTGACATTTATTCACTACTTGGGCCCGTTGCCCAAACATACAAAATTGAGAAGGTAACAAAAAAGTTATGGTCCAGTTGGACGGCCCGACAGGCTATGCGGGCTTGAGAACCACCGGCTTGTTATCCCTCTACTGCCTGGAGAGGGGAGCCGCGCTGCTCTGTGAAACCAGCCTGGCGCTTTATCCCCCACCTCTAGGAACCAGGTCAGCTGGGCCTTCGCACAACCTGTCTGGCCCAACTCCAAGCTTAGAGTGGGCAAGCCAGAAATTGGATCATCAAGCCCAGCCCTTGAGGCCGGCCCAATGTCCCACAACCTTAGTGCCTCCACATGGATCACAAGCTCCCGTTACAGAGCTCGGCGGTGGACCTCGTTTTCCGTGCATTAATAAAAACAGTGACCAGCTTCATTTTAAGCAATGTGGTAGATAGAAGCAGCCTTCGTTTGCTGTGTCCTTTCTTCTGTATCACCAGTAGTCTTTTGCCTCGACTCGGAGCTCAAATGGTTTATCAACTAGCTCAAACTCAAATTGGCAGCATCATCTTCTCTTTACCTTGTGTGTTTTTCTTGGGTGGTTTGTCTTTGTAGCCGGAAGAGCTTGTTGTTAGGACCAACTTTGGATGAAAGAAAGGCATCTCTTTCTACAGGAGTTGAAGAACTTGAATGGCTAGGAGCTCTGGAAGCATCCTCGTTCAGAATTGAGACATGAACAGATTGACAACTCAGTTCATCCTTCTGTGTTTTCAACCAATGGAATGATATGAAGATTAGCAGCAGCAAAGCTCTTTGCTTTTTACCTTAAACCCAGGATATGAAACGGTCACCTAAAGTTCAACTCTTATTGGCAGCTTACTTACCTCTGTGTTTTCTTGGTCGACAGCAGCTCTCAATTACAGTGCCATAATTGAAGGACTAATTGGAATGAAATGCTAGAAGCTCTGAAACAGAAACTGTTTGTATAGTCTAGCTCCGGATTCGAACAATGATTTGTTGGAGTGGGACTTGACTCGCAATCCGCTTGTCTAGTCTCATAGGAAGGGGAGAAACCTGTGGAAAGTCGGGAATGCCCCGGGATTAAGCTCCGACGATCAAGTCAGTTTATGTTTTAGAATGAGTTGAGAGATAAAGTGTGGAGAAATAGTCAAAACTCAAAAGTGAAAAGTGAGGAAAGAGAAAGAGAGTCCTCCTCATTGGAGGGCTTCAAACCCTTATATATACATGTAGCAGGCATCGAGCATCGCGCATCTCCAATTAGGCGCACTACTACTTAGTCTATGCGGAATGTTTTGTAACACCCCCAATAGAAACTACAGAGTCTCATTTGGAATGGAGGCCAATCGGTGCATATATATGAGGAAGAACAGCAACTCAGCAAGTATACTAAATAGGGGACTAGTAGACTTCCCTAATAATCCAATATATGGCATATACAAATGTACTCCTCATTAGTATGTATATATATATTATCTTTTAGCCTACAAATTAAATTACGTTACTTTGTTTTACTTGACATAATATTTATGATATTTCGTTTTTTAACTCAAAGCATCAACAATTCATCCAATTATTACTTATGTTACGATTTGTGCCAATCAATTAAATAGCGCATTTCTATATATTATATGAATTTTTACAATCTTACGTACACAATACATCCTTTTTGCGGAATATTATGTATTTCACACCTCTAACCGAAAATATCAACAAATGACGCATTTATATGGATCTACATTACAAGCTCCTTCAAACCAAATAGTGGTTTTGTATATTAATTATATATGAATTCTCCCAATCCTATCTATGTATTATGTTGTTTTTTTTTCTTCTATATGAACAGTATGTATTCCTTAATTCAATCCATGGTATTAGCAATTCACGTAATTATATGGGACCATATATTACCGTTTCTGGAAATCACATTATGTATTTCGTACGTCAATTTGTAGCATTATTAATATTTAATAATTCACCAAATTATATCGTACCTCATCCATTAATTTCATGCATTCTACCTTAGTACCTTACTGTTTGTCAAAACATCGACGAAGAAGAAGGTGAACCAAAATTGTAAATCGAATTGGACCTACATACAAAGATCAAATGGGTCATGATAATCTCAAATGAAGCAAAAATAGGACCGGTTGAAAAAGTGATGGTTCGGATCCATTGCCTGCCCAGAGCTGGTCGGTGGTCACTGCACTCCTTCCATCTCCACTAAGACTCTACCGCTCAAGCTTTACCGCCGGCGGTCGAAACCCTTTCATCAGTCTTTTATCACCGGCGACTCGTTTCGGCTCTCCGGCCAGGATTTTAACCCCGGGTTTAGGACATGTGGTTCGGCTTCAGTGGGTGGCCACCCCAAAGCTCGGGATCAAACAGCAGGTTGGGTCTTTTTTGGTTCAGGATGTGAGGGCAATTGTTGACCGATCCTTCTCTCAGATCGGGAACCAGGAACGTCTCAGTCGTCACCGGAAGTTCATTGGCCAATCTTCCCGGGGTGGCTATATATCCGCCGGCTAGCCTCCGGTGGGCTTTGCAGTTGGGCCAGGCCTGAGCCCAAGGTTCCATCACTTTATTGCCTCCACTCGGATCACAGGCTCGCGTCACTGAGCCCGGCGTTTCGACACGTTTCGGCGGGGGGAAAATGAAATGCAGCGGCTGGTTCCATTTCAGCGAGGTGGGAGTTTGTTGTGTAACGATTTTTCTACACTTTTCCGGTTTTCCCCCACTTCCATAAGACCATAACGATCAAAATTGCAAAATAGCCCAAATGTCCCCGATATAACCATGCCCAAACTCGACTAAGGCCCAACACCATATCCAAAAGGCGGTTTTCCATAACAATTATATCTTCATAGGTATAAATAAGAGTTGGTAAAAAAAATAGGTATAAATAAGAGAAGAGGTCACAGAAAAAGGCTAACGATCAAAATTACTAAATACCAAAAATGTCCCCGATATAACCATGCCCAAACTCGACTAAGGCCCAACACCATATCCAGAAGGCGGTTTTCCATAACAATTGACGTCAACGTCAAACTTTATCAATTATCATTTTCCTTGCAAGTAGCCATAATTGTAGTTTGGAGCTCTCACCAAACCTCCATATGGGAGAAGTAAATGTAGTTATGTTCTCAAAAATCATCAATCAAATGCTCTTGTTTGAACTGTGTTCAAAGCGGGTGTGAACCGTGTTTAGAAATCGTTTGGTTAGAAGTGAAAAGTACAATGAATTCTATTCGACGCCAGTTTTCTCGCCGAAAAATAATTCAACACCTGTTTCTCCCAATAACTCAATAATAAATATTTTCAAGTCTATGAATCACATACCTCCTTATTCTCTTGTGCTGCACAAATTACTTCCGACTCTTCCAGTGAGTTCTTCTTTCCATCTGTTGTTGTCGCCATTAGATATGCTTATCGACGAGTCATAAGTCATTACGATGCAAATTTATCTTTTAACCCCTCAATTCAACTCGTAATATCCTCTCCCCCTGGTCATTTTCTACTTCGTATCTGTGTTAGCAATAAGCAAAGTTAAAAGGCAAAAAAAACGCATATCCAACACACGTGACATAGAGTAAACTAGGACGTAACCATAGAAGTGCAAGCAACTCACACTATGTATCCCAACAAGATGTGTCTAAAAAACATGTCATATACTAAAGAAGAAAAAAAGACATTGACGAGCGTGATGGGTCTCGAAATACTATTTTCGCACTCGCTACCTAACCTCTCACATTAGAGAATATTCGTTAATAATTGATCGTGTATAATCAACTTGTCCTATAAAACAGAGACTATTATCGTATTAGTAGTAGGATTGTGATTTTACTCCAAAAATGACTGAATACTTTATTTTTTGTGAAAATTTTATAATACTCACGGTTTGTTTCAACAGAATGACACAATGATTAAAAACTCATTAGCCTCAAGTCCCCAACAAGTTCATAGGACATATAAAAGGAAGGAAGAACTGGGTTTTTGTTTTACCGCTTACAGAAAAATAGGAAAGTAAAACTAGACAAATAAACACAACACCGCCTTGCCTCTCTTCATCGTCGTGTGCATTGCCCAAACAGAGAAAGAGGGTTAGAGAGAGAGAGAGAGGCAGCTGCTGCCAGAGTTGTCAGCTTCAAAGAACGGAGACGACAACAAGAGCCAAGCCCCACGAAGAGAAGCGCCTTAACCGCTAATCCCTCCTTTTCTGCTTGGTTGCCCATCGATCCTCTCCATCCCTCTCTCTCTTTCTCTACCGCTGCTTCTGCCATATCGTAAGTATCCTCCAATTCGATTCAATCATCTTCCCTAACTCTCTTGATCCCCTGCCCTTTGGTTATAGCTTGTAATTTCGCCGTCTCTCGTTTGTTTGATCACTGAATTGCGCCTTATGGACTGTAAATTCCGAAGCTTTTTCCCTATTCGGTTCATGGGGCAACTTTTCCTCTCCCTTTTCTACGATTGGGAAGGGTAGTAGTAGGGCTTCAAATGCCGCAGCTTTTTTTTGGGCTGCTTAGCCGTGAACCCTAAAGTTTGTCACAGCGAAGTTTTTACGGTTAAAGTTCGTGTCTTTGATAAACCCTATGGCTGCAAAGCCTCTCAAAGTCGCTTGCTTTTTACTTTTTTCGAATTTGATTGTTCGCTTCTTTGGCTGTGAATTTTGTGTTCCCAGATCAGGATTGCGTTTGTAGGAACTCTTGTCTCGAGATGTTCTGTAATGAAGGAATTAAGAGCTCAATGTTTTGTACTATTCTTCTGTGCTTGCTAGATATCGTGTTTGGCTTTGTGGAGTAGAATGGGAAGTGCTGCTGAAGCGATTCCGGCTCATGTTTCCGAACCAACAATTGAGATAAAGATAAAAACACTCGACTCTCAAACCTACACTTTGAAAGTGGACAAGCAGGTGACTCTCTTGACCTCCTTTGTTTTCGTGGCATGTTTTGATTATGGCATGCACACGGGTGCTTTAGTTTCCAATGCAAATCTTGTTATCTTTGTGGAATTGTACCAACATTATGTTAACGTGGCCGTTACATAACTGGTTTTTGGTTTGCTGGCGGGTTAAAATCCGTGACGGTGCGTTAGAAATAACTGTTTTGTCTGTATAAATGGATGGCGCACTTGAATGCTGCTTCAGCGATCTGCACTTAATAGATTTAGTTACCATAATGTATGTCAGACCGATTTTTAAAACCATGAGCAACGTGCTATCTTAGTCTGTTTGCATGACAAATCCCTGTTGGAACCTCTAAAGCGCTGGAGATAAGATCAGCCCTGGAAGTAACTAGAGTTGTTCACCTTTATCAGTTTATCCATACATTATCGGATTCTGTATGAATGTTAACTTGGACAAGTTTGTAATTATGACCTATGCATGATAAGGTTATGATCTTATACTTATTTGTTGCCTATATTGCAGATGCCAGTTCCGGCTCTGAAAGAGCAAATTGCCTCTGTTACCGGTGTCTTATCTGAACAACAACGTCTTATATGCCGTGGAAGAGTTCTAAAGGATGATCAACTTCTCTCTGCCTATCGTATCTTTAAAAAAAAAAAAAAATTAAGTCAAGCTGTTATTGCTGATTCTTACATATTTCTCTTCCATCATATTTTGGTATATTATCATTTTACTTTACCTGCCATTTCTGTTGTTTGATATTGTCAATCAAGTTTGTCTTCATTCCATAACTCCGACTAGACGTGGAAGATGGTCACACCTTGCATATGGTGGTCAGGCAACCAGTCCCACCATCATCTGAGAGTTTGCATGATCACCAAGGTGTGATTTTGATCAATTTTCATTTATCATTGCTTCACGTTATGGGTCTGCTAGATTTTGATAGACCATATGCCACAAAGGTCGAAGTCATTGCCCTGCCACCAAGTTAAATTCACACTGTTTAGCTCCTTTTCTGGGAATTTTTTACATGAGTCCTAATTCTATGGTTATATGTTAAGCCGCACCAACAACAATCAGCTCTTAAACTCATTCTTTGGGGCAAAAGGAAGGATTCTGTTTGCTGTTGTCATATTTGTAGTTTAATAACCTTTGAATATAAGCCATCCTCTGTACTATACATTTGCGGTGTTTTATCATCCTTGAGACTCAAATAAAACCATTACACATGACAGATTGCTTAATTTATGTTCCATAAGTAATCTAGTATGATTTAACTGCAAGTGTTTTTTGCCTTCCTGCAGCTGATCCTACTTCATTTTCAAGTTGGAGTCACAGCTTTTCTGCAGCTGATCCATCTGCTTCAATTGCAAGTTGGGGTCCCAGTGTTGTTATAGAAAGTCTCAGTATGCCTGATCAAGGGGATGGAGGAGTTCCTCCTGAAATAAGTAGGGTGAGGCTGCAACTTGATGGTGAATGGAGCTCGTTCTTGATGGTTTGAGTGGGTTAATCATGTGGTGATGTGTTATTGTTTTATACTTTTTCTTATTTAATCCAGATTGTTTCTGCTGTCCTTGGGTCCTTTGGAATGTCCAGTCTTGGAAGTGCCATTGATGGGGCTGATGTAACAAGGGTAACTCCACCCTCTCTCTCTCTCTCTCTCTCTCTCTCTCTCTCTCTCTCTCTCTCTCTCTCTCTCTCTCTCTCTCTCTCACACACACACACACACACACACACACATATTCAAACACCCTGCTATTGACAAACTAAAATCTAGATACCTACAGATATATGCAATGAAATTAAATACATTTTTCTTTTCATGAACTAAATATACGCCTTTTTCCATTATGCTATTTTAAGGACCTTGGTTTGGGAAGAACATCATCTGCTGGTGCCACATTCGAGATAAACCAGCAAGCTGGTGCTAGAGTTCAGTCTGACAGATCACATAGTGCATTTGGAATCCCCGCTGTAGGTTCATTGGGGTCTTCTTTACACCCTCCTGTGAGTTAGAAACCCTTCTCTCCCTGCTTTCTAGATGCAATGTAATGTTTTCGAACCTAATGTTCACTAGAACCTTTTCTTTTCTCCCCTTGTCATTGGTAACTTTAGGTTATCCCTGATGCACTGACAACTTTGTCCCAGTACCTAAGTCATATCAGGCGTGAATTCAATCACATTGGTCAGTCACGTGATATCAATAAAACAATATTGCATATGCTCTTCAAATCATGTTATTTATCTCTATGGTGTGTTCAAATGGCCATCAAAATGACAGGTACAAGTAGTGAAAACAATTCTCAAACTGACGACATCAGCAGATCGGAGCATAGAGATCCTAATTCCTCTTCATCAGAATCTGGAAATGTAGAGGGAAGACTTCCGACACCGGCATCCTTGGCGGAGGTCATCTTGTCCAGCAGAGGATTGCTCACTGAACAAGTTTCTGAAAGCTTACTAGTACGTTTGTTCTATCACGTTCACTCAAATCAGTTCAGACCATGTTGGGAACTTTTGTCTTCATCCTGGTCAATCACTTCCAATCTCTTGTTTTCTATGGTAATCAGCAACTTGGAAGGCAATTAAACACCCAAGAAAGTATGACTGATTCTTCAGCAAGGTTGAGAACTCAAACTACTGCATGGAGGACAGGAGTTCAACTTCATAACCTGGGTGCATTTCTACTTGAACTGGGACGGACAACCATGACTCTACGACTAGGTCAAGCACCGGTAGAGTTCTTTCTTCCTCGGACCATCTATAACATCCTTTCATCTCAAGTACTCCTGTCATTAATAACTGATCTTTGTTGAATCAGTCAGAGGCTGTGGTCAATACTGGTCCTGCAGTCTTCATAAACTCCAACAGTCCAAATCCTCTCATGGTTCAGGTCATAATTAATGGTACCTTGCATAAAATACATTCTGCTTTCCTTAGTTCATTTCTTTTGATCGTTACTGGTTTACAAACAGCCTCTTCCTTTCCAACCGGGAGGAGCAACACTCGGTGCTGGCTTTCCTATGGGCTCTGTGCAGCCTGGTTCTGGGTTTGTTCCTCGTCGCATTGATATTCAGATACGGAGAGGAGGTAACCGTAAAGTGTTTATCATTTCCTAATCGGTTATAAACTCCATGAAAATTTCAGTTCTTTGACTTGTGAATACCAATAATTAAGGTTCGTCAACCACCTCATCTACTGTTACAAACGATGAACGCGGTGACCCTGGCCAGAGAAATCCTGCAGTTGGTGGTAGTGCTGAGAACACGGCTAATCAGACGCTCGCAGGGGAATCCGGAGTACGTGTGGTGCCCATTAGAACCGTGGTTGCCACTGCAGCAGCAGCAATCCCTGGTTCAATAGGTCATCCTTTTCTCGGAAGATCTCCGCCGGTGGGCTCCGGACAAAGGTCTCAAGCACAAACACAGCAGCAGGCAGTTCCTCAAGCTGCACAAAATGATGAGAATGCCGAGGTTCGGCCAAGAGAGCACTCAACTACCACCCGTAGCATTAACATCAACATTCTATCGGCAGCTGGTGGGGCCCGAACTGGTCAGGAATCTGATAGACAGGTCCCTGGAAGTGTCATGCAGTTCCTGAGGTCTTTGTTTCCTGGAGGAGAAATCCACGTTGAGGCTGCGGGTGGCGACCCAGGAACAACAACAGCAAACCCTCCTCCTGCCCCTCAGAACGGTGCACCAGCTACTGCTGCCTCTGAAGAAGGATCAGAATCGAGACCAAGCGAGGAAGGGATATTTCTCTCCAATTTACTCCGACAGATCTTGCCGGTGGTATCTGAACATGGTGGGCCAGGCGATGCTTCTCAAGGAGAAGCACAGAGGTCTCAAGATTCTTCGAGCCAGGTACTTGAAGCATAATGACACCACTAGCCATAAACTTCTGTGAGTCAATCCAATCAAAGTCCTAAACTCTTAATAATCTTTTTGGTGCTTTTTGCAGGTTGAGAACAATGGGGTAGGGACATCCCGTCGTAGCAGTGATTCACATCCAAGCAGTCCAAACTCGAAACGCCAAAGGGTACATACATTCAAGATCTCTCCTTGATTATGTATATACTCAATCCTGTTGGGATAACACTGATCTGTTTTTGTCCTTGCTCTTTCCATGGCGATGCAGAGGGAGTAAGGGAGCTTCGGTGGATTGAGGAGGCAGTGCTTTGTGGCGATAGAGAGCTGTTGTTGAGAATCAATAATGGATGGTATTGGATTTTCTTTAGTACAGGTGAATGGCCTATTTATATTTGTTTTTGTGATCTTTCTGAATGTAGGTTTTAGTTGGCTTTTCCAATTTTTTTCCAAATAACTGGGGGATATTCTGAGATTTGAGGAACCGAAGAAGTTAATTTTGTTTATGAGTCACCTTTTGAGTTGGATTCACCCTCTCACATTATACCAGTCAGTATACAGATTACAGCACTTCATGCACATGATACAAGTAGAGATACCTTTCAGACAGAGTTGCTTGATCTTGCTCACTTGCCCTTGCCCTTGCCCTTGCCCTGAATTTGCAATCTAGCCAATGGATACTGTGTGCAGGCTCGGAGGGTTCGCTCGTAGTTACGATCTAAACATGAGCCTGCCATCGTCGCCTTCTGATTTTACGACATATAGGGTATCCATTCCAATTGTACCATGCAAATTTACCAGTGGCAGTGGATGTCGAATTGTATCATTGGGTTTTCGCCACATGTATTGAATTATTCATGGCAAGAACAATAATATACAATCTCTCATAGATGGTTGAAAGGGCAGGTTGGAAGTTTGGAGTCACTTGTCCTACTTTCACCATCACTATATGATAGTAAGTTAACACAAACTAGTCAAATTAAACTATTTTCAATACCAGTCAGTGAGTTTTTAATTCGAGTTTCGTCATAGAAACCAATAGTGATTGTGTATCATATGCAAATTTACTAGTGGTAGTGGATGTCAATTTTGTATTGTTGATTTTTCGCCACATGTATTGAATTATCTGTGGCAAGAACAATAATGTACCGTCTCTCATAGATGGTTGAAAGGACAGGTTGGAAGTTTGGAGTCACTCGTCCTGCTTTCGCGATCACTATATGATAGTTAGCACAAACTAGTCAAATTAAATTATTTCCAATACCAATCATTGTTTGTGTTGACAAGCGAGCTTTTAATTCGAGTTTTGTCACAAAAACCAATAGTTGCCAGTCTCTCGTAGATGGTTGAAAGGGCAGGTTGAAAGTTTGGAGTCACTCGTCTTACTTTCATGATCACTGTATGATAGTTAGCACAAACTGGTCAAATTAAACTATTTTCAATACCGTCATAATTGACTCTGTCGACAAGTGAGCTTTTAATTCGAGTTTCGTCACAGAAACCAATAGTTCTTGTGTATCATATGCAAGAGTTAGATTTTACCATGGATATGATCTTATCTAAACTAATAGCTAAAAATAAAATTCTACTTGCCCTATTACCTAATAATAATAATCTACCCTATATATAATACGCTGAAGCCTAAAACTGAACCTCCATTTTGAATTTGCTGCCTCCGGAGCGTTTCTCGGAGGGGTAATTTTGGAAACATGAAGTTTCTTCCGCGCTGAAGTGGAACGCGGCAGCAGTATTTAACGGGCCCAAACAGCTGTTTCGGCCCACTAATAGTACAACCAACCCAACAGGGCACAGTCGGCAGTTTGCAGCAATGACCGAACAACACATCTTTTTCCCGACGAAGCTCCTCCCCACCATTCTATCGCCTTCTCTGGACGAAAGCTCAACACTCATTTTCCGATCTGCGACGGCAACGAGGACCGCTGCTAGGTGAGGCAGAGAGCGATCTCTATTCTGCGACCCCAAGCAGAACTCGCTCGATCCGTAGCGGTAGATGGGGAGATATGGACTCGGGCGGTGAGGAGCAACAGGCAACGGTTTTGAACGTAGAGGACTGGCGGAGCTGCGGGACTCCAGGGTTGACCACCTTCGTGAGCAGATCGCGATATCGGCGGGAGATCCAGATCTTGGCCTGCCTCGAGACAAATGGTGTTGACGCCGGGATCTGAAGGCTTTAGCGGCGAGGTTAGACTGGTGACGACGGCGGCGAGTGCGCAGAGATGGAAGCGCCAATGATGGTGCTTGAAAGGGAGTTTCGAATTGTTGATTTTTATTCGGAATGGTCTGGTTGCTTCTTTTCCCTCTGTCCAGTTTATCTTTTCTTTTATTTGTAGAGTCTTTTTCTTATATTCTTGAATGAGTATTCACCTAATGATGTTGATGTTCGTTATTTTTATGAGTAGCTATATGTGGAGTCATCATCGACTCCCCCTTGCCGCACCGATCCATGAAGAGAATTAGCGTTTCCAGCAGTCGGAAGAAACCCTTTCGGTTCTCTGACATTCATCGTCGACTCCCCTTTGCCGCACCGACCTTCCTCCTCTCACAGTCTTCGTGGGGTTTGGAGTGATGTTTTAAATCCGGGTTTCTATCACTCGGTGAGTCAAAGAACCACAATTTCATGCATTGGCCAGGTGAGTGAACTGGTCCTCAATATATGAAATCCTACTGAGCTTGACTTCTTTAATTTCATTGCATTCTATCAATGAAGTGAGTTAGGAGACCCAAATTCCTGTTAGCCCTCTCCAGTGATAAATCTAAGAAACCAGATTGGACTAATTGGCTTCTCTATAGGTTTTTTTTTGTTGCCAATACTCTCTGTTGTCACACGTTTGTTTTGCTCACTTAGACATTATGTTCTTCTGTATCGTTGTGGGACTGGACTCTAGCTTCTTATCCATAGCATCTTCTTTGTAGAATAGGGAATTGAACAACCATTATGGACCCTTGATTAGTTATTGAGTAGTATAGATAACCATTATCAACCCTTGATTTGCTATCTATTTGGTTTGAACTTTTCTCTTATACTTTTCAGGGGGACTTGCAGCGACCTCATGAGTCTCTCCCACATTCCTTGGCTTAATTCAATTCGTTCAATGTATTTAGTTATGTGATCGATCAGCTTATACTGGGTTTCAATCCAGCCTTGCCATATGTACAGTAAAACAATAAACCACAGTAGAACATAAAGTTCCTTCCACTTTTGTCTAATTGTTTTGTTACTTTTTTACACCCTATCACATAACTGAGCATCTGCCTCGATTCACCTACTGATGTTGATGTTCGTTGTTCTTATGTGTAGTAGTATCTGGAGGGTGTCTCCTCACAGTTCACCACATGCTGCCAGGGAGGGTGAGCTCGCAGAGGCAGAAGCCTCAAATGCTACTAAGAGCATGCCCCCAAATAATGTGATTCCAACTGCTGGCACTCCACAGGACAATCTCAAAAGAAAGCATGAACTGATCATGAATAATGAAGCTTTAATATTTCATGTTCCATTGGTGGGTGATTTTAGTTTCTTTTCTATGTTTTTATTAGCAGGAGTGGTCCTACACCCATTGGACAAATTAGTGGTTGGTAGAAGAAGGATGCTTTCCTAGATGTGTTTGGTCGTGAATAACCTTTTTGTTAATGGATTTAGACTTGCATTTTTATTTCAATTCTAAATTTATTAGGGGAGTTTGATAGCCCTTCTTTTCTAAGATTGATTGTGAATATATTACGGGAAGCAATTCCCATGTCATTATTCACTGACTACGTAAATAAATAGCTCTTCTTTTAAAAAAAAAAAAAAAAAGCTCTTCTTTTAAACCCTGCATACATAGCAACAATATATATTATGAGGTCGATTGTTCAGGCATCTTGACTTTCCTATATTCACTGCAGGTTTTAAATAGTAGCCTCTTTTGACCAAGATTTAATTTAAATACTCTCTATCGGCCAACAGGCCGGGCTTCGTGTGAAATTAATGCTATCTCATTAGTTATACTCAATGACTTTAGATAAGGAGATAGAAAACTGATAAGCTCAGTCCCATTTTTCTTGGATGCTTAGAATCTTTTTGTGAACAATCATGTACTGAAAATCATGTTTTGTCATGATTTTTTTGGTGTCTGTTAGCAAAAAAGCATTGAACTCCTTTTCAATGTTGATATTATGAGGCCGGATCCTAGATTGGATATGTTATTGTGTATTTGTTTTGTCGTTTATCACTCTTTCCCAGTTATGATTATATAGATTCAGTGCATTTGAATTTTCCAACTTTGCAAGTTTTCCAAACGACAATTAATTTTGAAAGTACGGACGGTTTTAAAAGTTAAAACAGGCCAATTTTGATTTTTCAAAAAAATATTTTTATACATGAGATTATTTTCCAAAGACAACTAATTTTGAAAGTACGAACGATTTTAAAAGTTAAAACACACCAATTTTAATTTATCTATAATATATTTTTATACATGAGATTTTTTCGCGAGTGATGACTTCGTCAAATATTCAATTGGATAGATACATGTCCTGGATAATTTACAAATTTGGCTCAATTTATGTTGACGTAAAATTTCATATTAATCAACCAATTTGATCACCAACTACAGGAGCAATATGTGTATGAGTTTGAGAACTTTGTATTCAAGCTAACTAAACGGGACTACCGATCACTAGGGAATGGGTTGATGCTAGAGTTCACCAAAGAAATTACTAAATGGTAACTAGATGATGTAGAAAAGCAATTAGAGTCACCAATTCACTCATGCTCGAGATGACAACTCGCTGATATGGCTGGTGCAAGGAACGAAGCCATCATTAAAATCCAGACCGACAACGGGGAGGGATGCCTAGGACTAATTCAATGATGATTCATGATGGTATAATAAAAACTGCAGTCTGCATCAGCATCAATTTCTAGGCCTAAGTAAAGTTATTCAACCCATAACTCTGATTAGCGCTAAAAATTGCCCTCACCCAACCTTGATCCTGTTTCACCCACTTCTGAAGAGTCAAGATATATGACCAATCCTCTCCGTTCATATTTTCTTATTGACTCTTTCTGACCCTTTAGGTTGGGGCGGGTCGGGAAGAATCGGATTAGTGGGTCGGTCCTAATCAAGGGGAATCTCAATCCCTTCACTCTCACTTGCTTTCTCTCCCATTCCACAAGTGGGTAACATACAGTAATCCGGCCAACGGGCCGGGTAATAAGCTAGTGTATAACTATAAAACCTAATTTGAGTACCTAATAGGCAAACAACAACCGGACCTTTCAACGACCCACTTGCAAAAGTGGGAAAAAGGGATGCGTCTCTGATTTCGTTAACTAATCACCTGAGATCTAAGGCTTTGTTTGAAAGTCCGGTGGGATCGGGGATATTAGTATCTCTTTCCATCGGAGTCCGGTACGCGTTCCGGAAGAGCGGCCAGTGTTGGCCGCCACCATTCAACGCCATATTGGTCACGATTTATCATCAACTTGAGATTCCCGGAGTCCCAACCCTAACCCTATCTTCATTTTTCCTATTTCCCTCCCAAATTCCAGCTCGAAGCCCGACTCGCATTGACGAAATTCTTTGCCGGGTCAACAATTCGCCGATCCAAAAATCAACCCTTTGAATTTTTCCTTCGTATTGTTCATCCTGGTCACTGGTTCGATCACATTGCTTAGAAAAGTTGACAGCTTTTGATTCTTTTGATGTGCAAATGCCAGGAGTTTGATGAGGGGTCGGTGGGATTTGGGCGGTAGAGAGTTATAATCAGGAAGGTTTGGTTTTTGGATGATTCGTTCTCTCTAATCTGCAAAAATGCAATCCATAAGCCAAAGCAGCCTCCCACCGGGTTTTAGCCTCTGCCCGTCTCTCAAACCTCCTCACAAAACCCTGACTTTCCATCAATTTGCAGTGTTGATCATCACTTTCCTTGCTTATGCTTCCTTCCACGCATCACGAAAGCCCCCCAGCATTGTTAAAAGCGTCCTGGGACCAACCACGTCGAATTCATCATTG